CGGTTCAGACACGCAGTGTCGCCCCTATGTTCAGAATGTGGCAACGTGGATGAAACACCAGAGCATGAGGTCTTCGACTGACAAAGGTTCGAGGCAGTGCGAAGGGAGATGCCCGTCCTTAACGTGGAAAATGTCGTCGATGAAATGTGTCGAGAGGAAGGCACTTGGAATGCCGTCACCAGCTGCAGCGAAAATGGAGAAAGGAGCAGTGATCTAGCAACACCAGAACACCCGATGAATATTGACGAGATGCCGCTTCAAGTTGAATATCCTGACCACTTTGTATGTTTTTTCCATTTGCCCTGCAAAGCACAACATTCACAACCACCTTTTCGGTATCGTCCTCAAACCACACAATTTTCTTCGTGAAATAACTTCGCGCTTTGTCCCTTTGTATACGTTTTCCAGCCACTAACGTCAAGCTCTGCCGGAAATTCCAACCACATGGTCTTGCTTTGTAGCTGCGCCTTTACCGACTGAGCAGGGAGGCCCGTAGCAGATAACAACCTTTTCCGTAAATTATTATGGCGAAGAACTAGAACGATGAGAACATAAAGTTCACTTTTCCCATAGTAATTCCCATACAAACTTCGAAAGGGCAGTGCAGTATGAGTTTGCATCCAAATAAACTAAACTTTTGGGAGAATGATCAGAACCTTATTAACAATCGGTTAATATTAATTAATAGCGCAAAATCGATATGTTAGACCACCCTAGTGGGAACTGACATCCGATTGATGACTTTAACAAATGTCCAGAAAATATTTTTTAACAAATTTATGGTGGTCCTGAAAAGGACCGTTTTGTCGTGATGGTTGAGTAATGCTGAGCTATTAGGGTGTTCAACACAGATGAGGCTGGAACGATGGTGACGCGCTTAGCATAGATGGTCCACAGCGACTCACAAAGAGCAACTGAATCCGATCAGTAGCGGTGCGGCTTCTTCCTCCTTCGTCGGTGAATGGACAGTAGAGTGTTCCAAAATTGCACTATGCCTGTAAATCTGGGAACTTACCCTCCTTAACTTAATGATAGCTAAGGGTAGCAAGGATAGCAAACTTTTGTATGGCGGCAACTCTGGGAAATGTTGTTTAGAGGTCGTCCCACCGAGATTTTTGAAAAAAGTCCATTTTTCATCGCTATTATCCAATAAATATTTTTAGTTCGTTAAATTTCAGTAAAATCTCACCCTTTTATATTTTTCGTAGATTTCCAAGGGTCAAAACTAAAAGATGAAAAAAATGCTATGGCATGTTCTGTGTCCAATTTGTTAGTTACAATTTTTTAAATTATCTAAGATGATGTTTTTTTTGGTACATCACTGCCTTCAATCATCAAAAGTGGGTATCAAACAATGCGCTATAATCAATCAAATGCATCAGAAATTGGAAAAAAACTTTGCCCAAAACACGTTAACCTTATTTTGAGCCGTTAAAAAGTTATTCGTGATTAACTGTGGAAAGAAAAGTTCAGAATTTCAATTCTTGCAGTATGTCCACCAGCAAATCAAATTATCATTGAAATCGTTCAAATTACCCATTGGACAGCTTGATGCTTGCAGACAGGCTTTCGTTGTAAACTTGAGAACAATGTTCAACGCGCAGTGTTGCTGCTGCTGACGATGATGACCGGCCGGAAACCACCACACAGGGTGATTGATTAGGCACCGTTCGGCAAGACCGGATGGAATTCGATTTTGAAGTCTGTGTTAGGGAACGCGCTTCCGGCAGGCAATTGGTGATAATTTTGATCACCATTGTAACATTTGGGCATTAGTGAAATTTTCAATAGTGACCAATTTTCCAATCGATTGGCTTGTATAGAATTAAAATCCATCCGCTATTGACAGAGTTATAAGTGGTCAAAACCTGACCACTTTTCGTAACGTGGTTGATTTTGGTTTTTGAAATTACACCCTTAATATGTTACTGAAAGACGTAATCTTACGTTAAAATAATGATAGTAGGTGGAGTAATATGCGCCCCTGGGTAATATGACCAACAGAACTTTTTCGTACTATTCACAGACTAATTGATATAAATAGTTTCCCAGATGATAGTTCCGTAGCTCTTCTAGTGATTCTGGGTGAAACCCATTCAATTTGTTTCGAAAAACATATAAATAAGTTCTGTTGGTCATATTACCCCATGGCTCGTATTACCCCGCCTTATCCTATTGTGATGCAAAATACCCTCACAGAAATATAGAGAAGAGTTTTTTCAATACTTTACAACTTTCTTTACTCATGCAAATCATAAAAGCAAATTATGACATTCTTTGAGTTGGTTGGATATGCTATCGAACATGAAGCTTTAGTTTGATAGTTTATTAATGCGACAGTACAAAGTCAAACGCACACTTCTTTGTTTAACCCGTACGATATACCGTATGCGTGATAATGTTTGCACCATCGTACAAATAAGGTTCCCGTTTCACCTGTGCATACAATGCCTTGGTTTTCTTTGCATGCACGTAACCTATAGCTCATACCGTAGTAGGCTGTGAATAAAATAAAATGATTTCCTTAGTTTGACAGTTTCACCATGACGAAGTTTCAGCGTATTCGTGATTTGTCCCACGCGCAAATGTCGCAAAAAGACATTTCAGTCGCCGTGGGAGTGTCCCGGTAGACCGACATAAGGGTTTTAGACCGAGAAAAGAATCCAAAAGAATCTATCCAAGAAGGTGGCCACAGGTCGTCCGAGGTCAGCTCGGGTTCCGAGGGTTATCCAGAGGGTGAGTCCAGTGCGTTCAATAAGGAAAATGGCAAAGGAACACGGAATCAGTGACTTTACGGCACGGAAGATCGTAAAGGAAGATTGCGAGGCAAAGTCGAAGGCACGGAAAAAAAAACTCACATGATTACCAACCGCATCCGGGAGCTACGAGTCGAATGATGCAAGAAAATCTTGAACTTCCTTAAGCGAAAAAATCCGGTAATCCTGTTCATCGACGAGAGCATTTTTACTGTCGATCCCGTATCAAATTCCAGAACCGACCGGTATATTAGTTCTCTTCCGGTAAAAGACGTGGCCGACGAGCACAAGAATGTGTATCTGACCAAGCATCCTGCTATGGTGTTTGGTTTGGTGGCTTCCGATTACAGAAAAATGGACCCGGTGTTCATTCCAGAAGGCGACAAGGTCAACACGGAGGTCTACATCGGGATTTTAAGTAAGTATGTTCTTCCGTGGATCAAAGAACAGTACGGTCCGAAGCCAAATGTTGTATTTCAACAAGATGGGGCTCCGCGCCACACCTCGAACCGCACTCAGAAGTGGTTGCAGGAACATCTTCCGTTCTGGGCGAAGGATATGTGGCCGCCATCCAGCCCCGATCTTAATCCGCTGGATTACTCAATATGGCGCGTCATGAAGGCCAAGGCCTGTTCTAAACGCCACCCGAGTACAGCAAGCCTCAGACAAACATTGACCCGTACCTGGAGAGAAATGGATCCAGGCTACATTACTAAAACCTGCCGTGCATTCTGGAAGCGTGTGGAGGCCGTAATTGCAGCAAGTGGAAACTCGAACGATGATTAACATAGTTTAAAACTCTGAGAAACATCCCCCCTTTGAATAAATAAAAAAAACTCGAAAACGAAATTTTTGAGATTTTTTTTTTAATTTGGCATTGCTTAATGGTGCAAACATTATCACGCATACGGTATGCGGAGATTTGAAGTATGTCTATAAATCTACAGGCAAAAAAGTGTACGCCCGCCTTTGTTCATATACTGTCTGCGGCTGTGGAATTCCATAATTAATTTTTACCAGGAAAACCAACAATTGCCATACCGTGTTTGTATTTAGCCAAAACCATTACTGGCTTACATTGCCTGCTACAGCACACTCCATCTTGTGCCTTAAGTAAATCTCTGGCCTGCCACAGCTCAACACATAGCGTTCATGTCATGGCATGGTGCACTCCGAGAAGAGCAACCCAACGAACAGGACAACCGCGTCCGTCCGACACGGCCAAAGACAGAAACACGCTGGCGATGATGATGATGATGATGATTATTATGGTGCCCCAACTTGTACGGTGGTGTCGTGGTTTGGCGATGGGCTTGGGTCCTCATTTCACGCAGCCAACATCATCCAGATCCAAGATGACGCAAACCAAATGTGGCTTACGTCGGACACTTTGTGTACCCAGTCAGTAGAAAGGATTCCGGTTGCATGTTGTACATTCCTTCAAGTTTCTTTGCCGTATCTCACTCGGGAAGTAGCAAGTGCCATCGTATTTCGTAATAAAAAGCTCAACGATTCATCACCGAGACCGGGTTGGTGCTGTTCGAGCTTGATTCGTCGCCGGGAGAAGGATTCTTCGTTGCAGCGCGGGCGATGAGCGCAAGAATTTATATTTCCATCCTCAGAGCGGACGGAAACAATTTAGGAAATGAGAAAAAGGAGATTATTTTATCTCCTCGCAAGTTTATCAAATCAAATATAAATTTTCGAAATGTCACATTTGCGAATCTCACTCAACAAACCCGACCAACAGCTGCTGCTGCTGTGCTGTGCGGTACGGAACATACAGAGGCAGTAAACACGTCTTCATTTGTGTTCTCCTGAATAAGGCAATAAGTGAGCCTCACGCTATTTCGGGATTGAAAAACGAGCGGATGGCACGTAAGCTCTCGGCTCGCCAGTTGAAATGGGTCTCTCGTGGGTTTATTTACGATTTGTGCAATCCCCTCAATTTAATTACGCCTGTCGGCTTCACTAACCGGTTGCATTTTTATTGCCCACAAGAGTGTCGAGAGGATTTATTTAGCAATAATGGTGACGGTATTCCGGAAGCATATTCTATTAGGGACAGATAGAGAGAGAGACAGGAATATTCTAATGCGATTCAGTTTTAATTACAACGATGTAGATTGAGCTTCCGGCAGCTCGGATGTGATTTTATCGTATGTCAACCAAGCACATCGTTTGTCACCGAAATTAATCTGCAGGTAGGTGTTTTTTTTCTCTAAATCAAGCACTCGTTGTCAGTTGAGATTACCGGAGATTGAAGTTTATTTGTACGATAAAAACTGAAGCAAATGAATTCCACAGTAAAAGCTAAAAACTCGACGTGCTCCCTCACCTTGCTTCATTAAAATTCATGCGCCGAAATCAACAGGAACAGCTTGGCGATGTTTGACCCAAATGGTTGTCCATCCTTGAACACTGTCATGCTCAGCTCCAGCTCAATGTCCTGTGGTCCTTCTATGCTCTTGACCAGATTCAGCAGCACTTCGTTGGACAATTTGTTCAAGCTGTACGACAAAAAATAGAGAGAGCAATAAGAATTAAGAGCACCCGCACCTAGTCAGCTCTGTTAGATATTACCTGAAAAAGCGCTGATCCGCTGGACGAACATTCGGCGGTGCATCGACGTGGATCAGCTTCATATCAAAGTCAATCGCGTCGTACCAGGTGGGTCCCCGTAGATTGAACAACGCCCGTCCAGAGGGTGGCACCGGCATGTTCGACGTCAGGGTTATGAAATTGTACGAGTACGATGACGGTTTCCTCTGGCACTCGATGTCGTCCTTTTGGCAATATCGGACCGTCCGGCGGCACCGACTGATTAGGAAGAAATTTGTGGACGTGAGAGATAGAAAGAGAAAGACAAAAAGAGCAAATTCAGCTAAATTGAATTAATTTCACCACTTGTGTAGCAATAAAGTTGCAACATGGTACGGCTGTGTTAGAATGTTGGGTGCAATAAAGTGGTAAATTTTCCGTTAAAAAGCTAGGAATTGATGAAAAATACATGTCTTCATCAACATTGCAAAGGGGCGAAACTGCTTTTGGAAACAATTACTTTATCCGTCGATATCTCGCGACAGTTGTTGAAATCATTGTTTACAAAAGTAATTTCACCCTAATGAAATGTTACCATCTATGCAATAAACCTTCAAATAGAAATATTGTCGCTTCACCTGTCAGTAAAGCAATTTATTTGGAAAACTGGTGTGCTAACGGGAAAGTTTTTCAGCAAATGTCTTACTTAACTAATATGAACTACGGATAAGGTTCACGAATTTCCTCCACTTCGCGTTTACACTGGCACTATCTCGCCATCCATTGCTTTTCTGCAGTAAATATGTAAATTCATTTTAAACTTTGCACATTAGCGGGAAGGTTACCGCTTCGATATAAATATACATTTTGATTTTTTTTTTTTCTAAATACAGTTAATTCTCTATACTTCGATGATCCTCTTTTTTCAAAATGTCGATTGGTATATCGGTCCTGAGTGGTGCGGAGTCGATCGCTTTCAAATTTCAAGTTATTTTACTTGAAAAATGTTCATTTTCTTGCCTTAATTTACATCCTTTCAACACCGCTCACAAAGTGGTACCTTTTTTCCAGTGAAAAAATGAGAACTCATTAGTGACTTTCTCATTATTTCTTTACAATTGCTTGAAGGAGCCAATATTTTGTAAAGTTCAAAATAAGCTTTAAACTGGTTATCAAGTAAAAACCTGATCAATATCAAGTCAAACGGTCGAATATGCTTTTACTGATGCTTTCTGTTAGACCCATTTATTTTGATGTTTAAGTTTTCTTTGTTGAGGATGTTTGCAATCCTTAGTGAGTATTGTAATGAATTAATCGTACTTTTTCACTGGTATGAATAAATGTGGCCAGTCTGTAAAGATACACATGTTTTATTACTTTGCAATTTAATTTAATGATAACATTTTGAGTGTGATCCAAATACTTTATCTTTTGAACGAATCTGTTTAAGGAACGTAAGCCTTGGTGTTGGTCCTGATCGTTTGATATTTTTTGACAGCACCTGTTGGAAGCTTTTTTGACATCCATTTCAAGTGACTCCGTACCACGTAGTATTGGTCCATTCAATCGTTCTTGTAGGGTATTCTTATTCTATATCTCCATATATACATATCTCAATGGTCCCTTCAATATCGAGATATGGAAAATTGACTGTACATTGAAAAAATGTATCAAAAATAAAAAAAAAGTGTAAAAACTTGTTTTCCGACTCTAAAAAAATTACAAGAGAAGTTTTCTAACCCGAAAAATTTCTAGACTCCGGGAATCGAACCCAGCCACCTCCAGCATGGTTTTGCTTTGTAGCTGCACCTTTACCGACTGAGCTAAAGGAGGCCCAAGTTTAACCACTATATGTTAATATTCAACTGCTGCAAAAGTGAACCGCAATCGATCCGATCAAAGGAGATCGACAATAAAGATATATTACTTTTAATTACACTATTCATAAGTTGCAAACATTATAACGTTGTACATGTAAACTATTTAATATCTCAACATAATTGCCGCTAAAAATCAAAATTAATTACACTTCCCTTCGTCGAGATAGTAGACATAAACTTTACTATTTTGGTCATATCTCCGGAGCCAAATATCCGATCGGGATACAACTCAATAAGAGATAAACGAGAAAGGCTATCATTATTTTCATGCAAAACTATTCCATTTATGCACCCATTACGTTTCCTCCCGAAAAAAAAAACATAAAGAAAACACATATCGTACTTATTCCGATCGGGATCGATTTCATATTCATAAGGACAGTCGATGCGGGTGCATCGAACACTGCCCCGAATGTTGGTGCATATCTCATTTCGACCGTTACAGACGTCTCTCGTTTCGCACTCGTCGATATCTGCAACATACAACAATGGTCAATAACTAGAAAACAAATAAAACAATTAGGCACGGCAGCCCAAGTTTGTACCTTTAGAATTGATAAAACGATCCATAAAATATAGAAAAACCTTCCATTAAAAACATCCAAATGATCCATAAAACATCGGAGAAAATCCCTTTAAAAGTGTGGATGATCCATAAAAAACATCAATATTATCAATATTTTATATGAAATTTAGCAACACAATTGTAAAAATGTACCACTAAATTTCTATATAATGAGCATTGGAATTGTACGAATTACCCATAAACATATTGCAATTGATCCATAAAACATTCAGCAATAAACCTTAAACTAAAGAAAGTGATCCATAAAAAATCAAGTTTGCACACTTAAAAATAAAGGCATGATCCATAAATTAGACGTATCTTATTCATGTTTAGGACACTATTATTTTTGATTTTGATCCATAAACCTTGAAAAATTGCTCCACTGCTTATCTACTTAGATTTACTGTCCTGCCCGTGTATTTAAGGTAGATGTGTCAAGCGACGGGCAAGCGAGAATTAAGAAGCTTATTCTAGACGCTCGCCCATCGTTCTGCTCTTCTGAAAAAAAAAAACGGGCAGAACAGTAAACCTGAGTAGCTACGCAGTAATGTAGCAATTTTCCAAGGTTTATTGATCAAATAAAAAAAAAAACATATGTATATAGACCGAGGGGAGCGACTCTAGCTACGATGCAGGAAAAATTGTGTTTTGTTTCGGCTAGCTGCGCACACGCTGAGTAGATAGAAAGAAGATTGATGACGATTCTGAAGATTTCCTGTAAAAAGATGAGGCGCGATGCAAGTAGATGCGAGAAATGAAAGAATATTTTTCGAAGATTCATTCGCTAGTGGTAGATCTGTTGAGCATCTAGAATTGAGATTTGGATGTGTCGTTCCTCTCGATATAGACTATAATTGGAACACACCAAAATAAGCACGTCTACCAACAACTGGAACACCTACCCTAGGTATGATCCATAAAATTAACATTTATTTTTCATTTTTTATAGATTATTATAGAAGCTTCTTTTGGAAGCTAATTCTAGACGCTTGACCATCGCTCGCACATCTACCTAAAAACACGGCAGGACAGTAAATCTAAGTAGTTAAGCAGTAATGGAGCAATTTTCCATGGTTTATAAATCAAAATTAATAATACAGTGTCCAAAACGTGAATTATATACGTCTAAGTTATGGACAACCCTGTGGGAGATTCAGAGAGCTACGGTAACGGTCGCTGCCAGAAATGACAGACGTCAGGTTTGGTTCAACCATAGAGGTAACTCTAAGACTAGAAGGTCCCGAAATAACGTGCTCAACTTTTTGGCTCAGCTCTGGTACTCTCTTCGGTCCCAAGCTAATCGATTCACCCCTCGAAACATAGGAAAAACCAATAACCCCTCATTTTATCTGTCAAACTTTCATAGCGAATCAAAACAAACATTGCGTAGTACTAGAATTTTGACTAGGATAGGGTACGTTAATCGTTTGCTTGGGACCAATAGGCTACTAAAGTGGTGAGCCAATTTAAAATCGTTAGTTTCGTATTGATTGTTGGTTCAACGGAACTGTGAACTCACAGTTCCGTTGAATCAAACCTTTGATAGGTCGGAGTATGAACGAGAAAAAAAGAGGAAAAGAAGATACAATTCCAAACCATCTAAAAAACGTTTTACAGCTAAATTATTGTAATTGCCTAAATTTGTTAATATACCTATCGTTTATTTAAATTGTAGTTATTTGTAGTGAACTAGCTACCAACAATCAATACAAAACTAACGATTTTAAATTGGCTCACTACTTGACTTGCCTATTGGTCCCAAGCAAATCGATTAACGTACCCCATTCTAGTCAAAATTCTAGTACTACACAATGTTTGTTTTGATTCGCTTTGAAAGTTTGACAGGTAAAATGAGGGGTTCGTGGATTTTCTCGTGTTTTATAGGGGTGCATCGATAAGCTTGGGACCGAAGATAGTACCAGAGCTTAGCCAAAAAGTTGAGCACATTTCTTCGGGACCTTCTGGTCTGGTCTCTATGTAGCTACTGAAGTAGGTTAGTTGAGGGTGGAATTCGTGCAAATATTGAATTTAATAACCCTATATTTGCTTAATCTAGATACTACAATTTGATCCTAAAATCTGGTAACCTACAATTTGTTCCTAAACGCTATATACATGATTTACCCTAAGTAACTAGTAAGTAGCTCATTCGTGCATTCCGTGCTTAACTAAAATAATAATTGAATCCCTAAATGCTAAATCTAGCCAAATCTTTGTTGAAAGAGTGACGGAAGATAACTCTCGGTTTGAAAATCTCCCGCTCAGCCTCCTATCTTTCTCTTCCTCCAGCGCTTTCTTATTTGCACTTTTCTCCTGCAGCAGCTGGTCTAGGGATTCTTCCAGGTTGACCTACTTCCTTTTCCAGATTCGGTTGCGGCATCACTCCTCGCTCTATTATTTCTGCTAGGTAGTTTCTTTGGGACAGACTTCTTGGTTCCTTTTGCCACCTTCAGCATATTTGTGCACTTAGAGCACGTCTACGGAACCTCCTTTACAGCTGTTGTCTTACCAGCACAACTATAATGGGTCCAGAAATCGCAGACATCACACTGGACCATATCATCTACGTGGTCATGGCCTTCACAAAGCGCACAGTTTCTATCGCTGTTCTGTTCTTCACTCAACGGTGGTGTTGATCCCTCTGACATTTTGAGGTTATATTCGATGTTGTTCTTCAAGAATGTTCGGATTAATGAAAGCAACTTCCTCAGAGCAGTCTCGTTTTGGACAGCTTGAAGCTGAAATAGGTTTTATTATAAGCATTAAGATTGGTTTTGATTTTATATTAGTTTAATAAAACCTATTTCAGCTTCAAGCTGTCTAAAACGAGACTGCTCTGAGGAAGTTGCTTTCATTAATACGAACATGGCTATATTTTTAAGTGCGCAAACATGATTTTCTATGGATCACTTTCTTTACTTTAAGGTTCACTGCTGAATGTATTATGGATCAATTGTTTATGTTTATTGGTAATTCGTACAATTTCAATGCTCATTCTTTAGAAATTTAGCGGAACATTTTTACAATTGTGTTGCTGAATTTTACATTAAATATGGATCATATTTATATTTTTTATGGTTCATTCACACTTTTTTAAGGATTTTCTCCGAAGTTTTATGGATCATTTGGATGTTTTTTATGGAACGTTTTGCAATATTTTATGGATCATTTATTGGTTTTTATGTTCAAAAGTATGTTTGCCATTAGGCACACAGCTCCTAGCCAGTTACTGACCTATACAGCTCCGGTTATCGTGCCCCAGCCGGTAACCCTGTGGGCAACGGCAACCGTACGAACCGGGGCTGTTCTCGCAAATCCCCACGCACAAATTGTTCGACTTGTACTCGACACACTCGTCCACATCCTCGCAGGTGCGGTTGTTCACTGTAAGTTTGTAGCCCGGTTCGCATCCGCACCGATACGAGCCGTAGTAATTGATACACCGTTGATGGCACAGTCCGGGAACCTCACTGCACTCGTCCACGTCCGTACAGATGAGATCCTCCGGCCGGGATTTCTTGAAGCCAGCCTTGCAGTCACACCTGTACGAGCCGACCGTATTGATGCATTCCGAGTTGTGCGGACACACCTTGCCCTTATGCAGATCGCACTCATTTACATCCTCGCACCGATGGTTCCGGCCGATAATGTGACCCGCTGGACAGAGGCAAACGTAGCCACCACGTTTGTTTTTGCATACCTGATCGGGACCGCACTTGGCTTCGCCGGTGCTGCATTCGTCTACGTCTGGTGGAGGGGAAAGGCAAGGGAATTGACAATTGGATTAGTATTTTATTTTTCATCCGTGCTGAGTGTATTAAAGATAAAACTCTGTTCCATTCATGTGTATTTTGCAGAGTGACAACTCTCGCGTCACTTTTCAAGTAGACCAATGTAACGTGTCCGCCATTTAAAAAAAAATCAAAGATGAATTTCGACATATTATTATTTTAACTGTTTAGAAACAATATGCAATAGGGGAAATGGGCCTCAATGCCCCTAATTTGGACCCATACATAAATTCAGCAGTCGACTAAATTTTCAATAGCATCCAAAACTGTCCATTAGTATCGTCCTAATGACGCGTTCATCTAGATAAAATTGATAAATAGCAGATTTTTAGCGATTGGCCCAATTTCCCCTACCATTTTTACTTTAGTCAATGTAGTCAACGTTGAAAATTCAGTGGAAACTGTTAAATCACAATTTTACTTTGAATTTCATGCTACTAGGGAGAATGGCTCTTAGATTGGGCCCATCGCTAAAAATCTGCTATTTATCAATTTTATCTAGATGAAAGCGTCATTGGGACGGTACTAAAAGATATTTTTGGTCACTATTAATTTAGTCGATTGCTGAAGTTATGTATAGGCCCAAATTAGAGGCATTTAGGTCAACATTACATCCATTTCCTCTACATAGAAAAAAAAACACATAGGACGTTTTGACTAGTCAAGTTGTACATCGGACATGTTACGTTGAACAATTTTTCTGAATGACATAATCAATGATTGTTACACTGGAAGTTTGTTCTACTTGATACTAGATTTCCTTTCACAGATTTCAGAATAGAGCACCAATCATGTTAGGCAGTCCAAATGTCCGAAGTAACAAGAACGTACCCATCATTTCAAACTGTACATTGGACAGTTTTTTACCTATGATTATCTTAAATAAATTAATGTAAATTTGGATGGGTGTTTTTGTATCACATACATGAAAGAAGAGCAATAATTTGTATCGATTAACTCGATTTGTTTACATTTGTTACTTAGGACCATTTGAAAAGTTACGCGAGATAGACTTGTGAGATATTTCAATTGCGGTTAAAAAGATCAATTCGATAAATGTGGTTGTTTGAACCACAGAGTTCTACCGCACTGGACTGCACTGAAAAGAAACTTATTTTTTTTTTATTTGAATTTCAAATGATAAATTCTAAGTTTGTTAAAATTTTAATGTTAAGTGTTAAAATATACGCATGTTCTTTGATATAACATTTTATTCTTTTAAAAGTTTAACATTTAAACAATTTCCTTTTAACATGTATCCATCATTTAATATGAAACATTTAAATTTCATTTCTGGAATGACAAATTCAACATTACCCATAACATAGTAAACATTCCGTAGTAAATATTTTAGAATCTACATTGAACATATTACATTTCAGGCGTAACATTTGTATGTAGCACGGAGCAGTTGGCGCTCCTCACTGTTTGATTAAATCAAGCTCAATAACCTCTGATTGTCCGCAACATGTCACTGTATGAAGGACCAAAAACGGATTTGGTGGATCGATAGGTGAATTCACCTATACGCCTCCACGGGATGATAGAAAATCTCCTTCCGATCATACAAATGGTCAAAAAACGAGCCGTTCGACAGAAGGGTACCCCAATGAGAGTGGAGAATAGCCCGCCATTTTTCCACGAGATGTTAACAACAGGAAGTTGACAATTTCACTCTCCACATCCCAATCGCTTGAATGGGGTGCCCTGATGGTCCCTCCCAATTCCAGCATTGTTTTGTATACCTATTTGAGCAATAATAAAAATTATAAATTTAAAACGAGCTCACCTATTTTCGCTGTTTCTTCACCCTGCTGTCCAATTTTCGTGCCTATTTGTGAACTCGTTGTCCTTCTCTGCATGTTATTTCTGATGTCCGGAGTGAATTGAGATTTGGGCGTAATTTCATTTGTAAACAAACACATCAATTGCCGATTTCTCGTGAATAAAAGCTTAATCTCGTAAATAAACTATAGCAAGTCATTCCTCTACCTGATAGTCTTATTAGTTTTCGAGATTCAGCTTTTACTCGCGAGAAAACGGTGATTGACGTGTTTGTTTACAAATGCAATTACGCCTAAATCTCAAATCGCTCCGGATGTGTTCTACGATATTTCGACGTCCATAATCTTTGTATTAAGATCTGGAGTTCCTAGTTGCGTCTTATAAAACCGTAATACCAATGCGGACAATGGACAGTGTCTCCAGGTAATTTTTTAATGAGCATCGCTCCATTGTTGTACGGCATGTGCTCCATTTTGCAGCTCTTCTTTCACTTTTACTTTGTTGACTCCATGGAAAAGATATAACCACAACGGGATGGCCTTTCAGAATGGTTCAACGGATGTAAAATGAGGGAACATTTAAATTTAACACGATTTAAAGTATTTCAATGCAACATGACATTTGTTCACTAACAATTAACACATTTTTCAATATGTTATCTTAACTAATTTACTTTTGTTTTATACCAATAGTATCAAAGTTTCAAGTGATCTTCTCAAGCGCCACATTTCGTTCAGGCTATTTGGAACTACATGTGATGAAATATGAAACGCACCTTTTAAATTGAATTGCACATAACAATGTTCATCACTTACTCACACATGAAATCTGCCTCGACCAACCTAGCAGAACGCGCCCTAACTATTGTAAAAGGCGCTATGAAATTCATTAAATACACCAAAACCAGCGGACTCCTCTATTAGAGATCCATCTGTGAAAAACGTTCTTGCATAATCAACATGGCCAAATTTTGCAGCGTATAATGACGGAGCTATCATAGGGCGATGATGCTCTGGAATTCCACGGATTTCCTGCGTCATTGATAAATCAAAATTTAATGAATTGCCGAAATCGGAGAAGACTACACGATTGAGAATATTTCTTGAAGGGCTGACATCCTGTGTTAAATATAGGTAGTACAAAGTCATAAAACATGTTTGAGGATTTAGCTCCAGAAGCTTCTCAAAGTTTTCGATCACCAGTGGGTTCATTACTTCGCAACGGGTGAGGAGCCTCAGAGATAATTCTGAAAAACGGACGGATAGTGGCAACATGCCCGCCAGCACTTCGAGACTCATAGTATGAGTCGAGTGCATGCATCCTAACGCGATACGAAGACAACGATACTGGATCCGTTCCAGCTTGATGATGTGCGTTTTAGCTGCCGACTGGAAACAAAAACTACCATATTCTAGAACCGATAAAATCGTTGTCCGGTACAACGTCAGAAGATCTTGTGGATGGGCTCCCCACCACGTTCCGGTAATTGATCGAAGGAAATTGATCCTTAGTTGGCATTTTCGTCTCAGATACTCAATGTGGGATCTCCAGGTGCATTTGGAATCGAACCAGACCCCGAGATATTTGAAAGACATGGAATGAGTGATCGGCTTACCCAAAAGTTGAAGCTTCGGTTGTGCTGGGCTATGCTTCCTAGAAAAAACGACCAACTCAGTTTTCTCCGTGGAGAATTCGATACCTAGCTGAATAGCCCAAGTAGACAAATTGTCCAAGGTATCCTGTAAGGGTCCTTGCAGGTCAACCTCTTTTGGCCCTGTGATAGACACTACGCCATCATCTGCAAGTTGCCTCAACGTGCAATTGTCACTAAGACAGTCATCAATTTCTCTAACGTAGAAATTGTACAACAGGGGGCTTAAACATGAGCCTTGGGGGAGACCCATGTAGCTAAATCGAAAAGCTGTAGAGTTTCCATGAGTAAAGCTCATATGTTTTTCGGACAGCAAATTGTACAAAAATTATTCATTAATGGAGACAATCCACAAGCGTGGAGTTTCTCTGAAAGAGCTTAAACGGATACTGAATCAAAAGCCCCCTTGATACCCAAGAACACAGAAGCAGCAAAAGCCAACTGAATTTCCGAGGAAAGCAACGCGAGACAGTCGTTCGTTCCCTTACCCCTACGGAAACCAAATTGAGTATCTGAAAGAAGGTGGTTCGTCTCAACCCATTCGTCGAGGCGAAAAAGGATCATTTTCTCCATCAATTTCCGAATACACGACAGCATCGGCCGATACGAATTGTGATCCGACGCGGGTTTATCAGGCTTTTTAATGGCTATCACCCTTACTCGTCTCCAATCGTCGGGAACAATATTGAGCTCCAAGAACTGATTGTACAAGTTCAACATGCGCCTCTTAGCGACGTCTGGGAGGTTTTTCAGCAAGTTGAACTTGATTCTATCAGATCCCGGTGCAGAATTGCCACACGAAAGGAGAGCGAGTGAAAGTTCGACCATTGAAAAAGGCTGACTGATTTCGTCTACCGAATTTGCGGTTTCGCGAGGAATCAACTGCGACGGCACGGAATCCAGACACACTTTTCGCGCGAATTTAAGAATCCATTGATCTGAGCATTCCTCGCTTTCGTTGTTAGTAGACCGGTTACGCATTCTTCGCGCCGTACTCCAAAGCGTATTCATAGACGTTTCGTGCGACAATCCGTCTACAAACTGCCGCAAGTAACCCCGTTTTTTGACCTTGAGTTCGCGTTCAAGAGATGTGTATGCGTCGAAATGCTCGCGTGTTCCGCGTTTCCGCGTCGGACTTTTTACGGTAAACCTCCGTGCATTGTTGATCCCACCAGAGCGATGGTGTTTTCTTACGGATTGACGATCGCGGCACCGGTCGTGTTTGAGCTTGAAGTGCGCTGTCGACGATGAGATTAGAGAGGAAATTATATTCCTCCAACGGCGGAAGCTCTTCCACTGACGATACTGTATCGTCTATCGCGGATTGGAACTTAGTCCAATCGATGTTACGGGTTAGATCATACGCGACGTTAACGGATTCTGACGAGTTGAACCCACTGGCACTCGAAATTTTGATCGGCAGATGATCACTACAAGTACAAGTGCAATCCAACGATAGTGAATTGGAGCAAAAGGTGAGGTCTAATCTGCTACCATTCGAGGGTGGACCAGCCAAACGTGTTACTTCTCCATTGTTAAGTATTGTCATGTTGAAGTTGTCGCAGAGATCATAAATCATAGTAGAACGGTTATCATCGTACAGCTCCCCCCAGCCTGTACCGTGGGAGTTAAAATCTCCCATGATCAACCATGGAGCGAAAAGTACCGCACATATGTCGAAAAGTTATTTGTGATTAACAGAGACTCTAGGATCAATATATACAGAAGCAATACAAAGGCTCTTACCTTTAATGGTAGCCTGACATGCGACAACTTCAATACCGGGGAGTTCGGGAAGATTCACTCTATAGAAGGAATTGCACTTTTTGATCCCCAAAAGTACCCCTCCTCCACGTGAATCCTCATGATCCAATCGAATAATGTTAAAATCATAAAAAGGGAGATCAATTTCTGAAGAGAGCCATGTTTCATAGAGGGCAAATGCATCGCAATTATTGTTATGGACTAAATACTTGAACGAATCTAATTTCGAAATAAGGCTTCGACAATTCCACTGTAGAACAGTGATGAAATCCCTGACCTCGTTTGGAAAATTATCAGGGGTTTTGGATGTCCCCGGAAGAGGTGGAAAATCCTGGGTATAGTCAGTTCTGCGGAATTCAGGAGGAGTAGCAGTCTCCTTTTTTCCACCATTGCTTAATTTGGGCAAGCTGATTTGGGGTTCTTGATTGTCAACTTTCCGCGAACGGATGTGTTTTCGTTTCCGTGCAGAAAAACGGAAAGAAGCTCCCTCCTCAGCCAAGTCAGAGTCAGTCTCGTCATCTGACAAAAGAGAAAAGGGATTTTTGTCATTGGTCGATGGCGTGGCTGTCTTAAGCATTTCTGCAAAAGACCGCTGGAACGTTCCTTAAGGGAGCGTTTCATTTTGTCCCGAGCTGTTTGTACGCCGGGCACGAAGAGAGAGCATGAGGAGGAGTTCCGTTGCGGTACACGCATTTTGGTGCAGTAACTGCGCAGGCGCCAACCTCATGCTTCTCCCCGCATGTGGAGCAGCGTGCCTTGTTGCCGCAGTGGGAGGCCGTATGTCCCAACCGCTTACAATTCTAGCAGTTCATGACCCGAGGTACAAACAACCGCACAGGAAGACGAAGTTTTCCCAGCTCGATGTATTGAGGAAGGGCAGATCCAAAAAAGGTCACCCAAAACGAGTCTGTGGGGTTAAAACTCTTTTTACCCTCGCTGAGCGATACTGATTTCATTCTATGAACGGCCAGTATCTTTACCGGAGGAAGCATGGGGTTCTTGAATCGGCCAACCGCTTGCTTCTCCAGTATCTCGGGGTTCAGACTCGCCTCAGTAACCACGCCTTCGATATCCACATCAGAGGCTGGAATGTACACCTTACACGGGGAAAAAAGAGTTCCCATATTCGTGAACCACAGCCGTGAACCATAGTTCACGGTGTATATTTGAGAAAATTTTGTTCTGGATAGCTGGCCGTGATTTTTAGTTCACGGTCCGTTCCCGTTTTCGGGAACGGATTTTTTTCCAAGTATATTCCAGTGTGAAAAACTGGGAAACAGCAATTTCATTGGCCTGTTTCAGGTTAGCGACGGTCACACGAAGTTTGTTGTGCCTAACCTTCTTTATTTCGGTCACGGCAGAGAATCGCTTTGTCAGATCATCAGATATCTGAACAACATTCAAGGGTTTGTTTTTGGGCTGAAAATAGACAACCCATGGGCCAATCTGGTGCTTTTCTCAGCCTGCCCATTGACAGACTGAGACGACAAACCAGGGATGACATCATCAGTTTTCTGAGATGAATGGTCATCCATGCCGTCTTCCGACAAAAGTTCCCTAGTTTGAAGTGGTTAAGACTAGGGTTCTGATGCATGGTCTTTATCGGTGTCATTGCTTGTTTTTGTTGCTAAGGAATCCAATTTTCACTGACAAAGGAGCGCGCCTTTGGAGGGTGTTTCAACACTCCAAAGGGTATAAATAGCGGGACCTGTTCAATTAGAATCGATTCCTTGCGATGAAGGCAAGAATGACAACTGTATCAAAACCGAATACTTCATCATTTCTCAATAGTGATGGAGTAATACGACATGCACTAAACTAAGGACACGGGATATACTACAATAGATCAAATTTACTGGTCGCAGTGGTTTTATGTCCGGAACAGTGAAAAAAAAGTGGGCTAAAAACAAACATACTATTCATTGCTTCACCGACAACAATTGAAAAGCGTCTAACGGGTGTTCAATAAAAAATGAGAATTTTTTCAGTCATATAGCTAGTAAAAAAAAAATTTTCAACGATTTCAGTATTTTTTATTAAAAACATAATGTTTATTCTTCAAAAAAAACGTCAATGAATTTTGGAGAAGGGACCCTGGTCAGCCGTACGACGCAACTTAGTCGCGATGCTCTCAAAAGAGCGCTGGACGGCACTGAAATCATTCTCATTTTTTATTGAACACCCGTTAGCATCAAAGTTAAAAAAGAGAATCTTTTGCATCACATAATCAAACGCATTATTTTATTCTGCAAGAAATAGTTACCATGGACATACCTAAGCATTCAGTTGCATCGCTGTTGGATACGAATCCATTCGGGCAAATTAGCATATCATGACAGCGGTAGGAACCGTTGCTATTCACACATCGCTGATTCGATCGACAGGCATTTTCCCTGGAGCATTCATCGATATCTAATTGATAAGGAAGAAATTATAAAGTCATAATAAATAAAATAAAAACTGAAAATGGAAACATTTAGATGGGGTTTTAGAGGTTTATAGCTTATCATTTCCAGGAAGGCAGTAGAAATAAAAAGATGGCCATTGTTAGATAAATTAATACTGACGTGTATGCTATAATTAAAAAAAATCTTCTTACCGACACAGGCCCCGAGGGCATTCCTCTCGAACCCAAAACCACACGAGCCCAGATACCGATTGTATTCAACTTCCTGATTGTTCGTTTGGTACACCGGCGGCGGGTAATTTCGTGAAATCCTGGTCGTGTGCGTGTAATAAACAGGTCGTGCAGTTGTAGTAGTCGTTGTGCTGGTACTGGTACTAGTGCTAGTGCTACTAGCACTAGTAACCTTACTTACGGCCGGTGCATACCTTGACCTCTGACGACAGCGGAAGGAACCCTTGGTATTGAAGCACTCGTACGGTGGCACGCAATTATGCCGACCAAGGGCACACTCGTCATCGTCTGGAGTCGTGCGGGATGGAATTGAATAATTTAAATGAGTTGTTTTTTCTCTTTCTCCCCCTCTCTGTTTCATTTAAAGTAATCCCTCAATTTATGAGGTAGGTGGAACTATGCACCCGTTGCTATTTCTTGGTTGTACTACTACCAATTACGCTGATTTATTGTAAGTGATTAGTGTCAACCATAAACTACCTCTCGACAAAAAAAGGAGCTCAATTGGTTGAAGGACAACCGAGAAATAGCTGTGGGTGGATGGTACTACCCACCGCATAAATGTAGAGATTTCTGTAGTAACGTAACCTATTCACTCACCGTCACAGTTTCCGGTTTCTGCATTCAGGGTGTAGCCTGTTCCACAGCTCTGCAACCGGATGCACGTGTAGGACCCTATCGTATTGTCACACCGTTGGCTCTCCAGGCATTCATGTGCATTTATTTGACACTCGTTGATATCTGCAATATGAGTTCAGTGGAATGAAAATTTAAAAAAAAAAATCAAGTCTTGATGAGCAATTCAATTAGCGTGAAACATTAATTTAAATTGAGTTATAGGCATCGGCTTGTAACATATCGGCTGTACGATTGCAAATCTTTTCAATCTCCATCCGTTCTGAACTTACCAACACATGCGTTCGTAACCTGGTCAAGCATGAAGCCAATTTTGCAGTCACACCGAAAACCGCCAATTTCGTTTGTGCAAACCTGATTACTATCACAGGCGTACTTATCGGCAGCACATTCGTCAATATCTGCAAATAAGCACACATACACACGCATGCAGAAAAAGCCAATCAATTAAATCAGAATCGCAACCGGAAATCGCATTCTAGGTGAAAGTTCGTCAGCTTTCACACGTGCCATTAGTTGCTTACCTACACACTGGTCGTTATGACGGCGGAATCCAGGTGCACAGGACTCGACCTTCTTCTTCGCCGGACTAGAATGGTTCACAAAACCTCATCAATTAAATTGCTACAGCTGATCGAACCACCCAGCATGACATTACTTACAGTGGGTAGTTTTTCACCACGGCAATACAATCGTACGAGCCCTTTATGTTGACACACTGGAAGCCCTCGTCACAAGCGGAATCATCCTCACACTCGTCGATATCTAGTCGAGAACGAACGAAATAACAAAGTGTGATGAATACCCTCTCCTGGGAGGTGTTACAACTTGAGAGTGCACTTAAAAGCCAACAGTTTCAGGAAAAACGGAACGATGATAGCGAGTGGTTAAAAGGGTAAAACGGAAAAAAGCAGTGTTCAAACCTTCACATAACTTGCTGGCACTGTCGTAGATGTACCCAGGCAAGCATGTTTCTACCGCCTTGTTCTGGCAGGTGTAATTTCCGCGCCCATTCAAGCAGTGCTGCGTTTCCCTATTGCAAGCATCAGTTCGCTCTAAGCATTCGTTTATATCTAAACGAGAGTGGCGAGAGATATAGTGTAGCATATTTTTCTGTATGAAAATGACGTAGATATCATTATGAAAAGAAACGTGCAAGCATAAACTCAACAGCGATAACATTGCTTTACGATAAAAAAAAAATCACACATCAACTTACCTTCACATTTTACTGTTTTGCGGTCGTACCGGTAGCCGGCGTCACACTTGACGTCCTGTATGTCCAGGCAACGGTAGGTGCCTTCAAGATTCATACAAACCTGATTATTAGCGTCACATGTCGCTTCACCCATTTCACACTCGTCCACATCGACGCACTCACCTGTCCGTTGATCTTTCTCATAACCTAGTCGACAGCTGTTGTTCGGGACAAGGATGTTGACGCATTTTTTTGAGAGTTGCTTTTAGAAACCAAATTGCGCTTGATACTTACTCCGAGCGAGGTTGTTCATCGGTGATGATTTCGTTCTCATCCTCCGAAGTTATTTGGACACAGGTTTTCCTATCATCAAGCAGAGTGTAGCCGGGATTACAGCGGCACATGTACGATCCGGCTTCGGTGTTTTCGCAAATCTGCGAGCAAAGATTCTCAAAACGACCGCAAAGGTTGTCTGTAGGGGAATGGTGAAAAGTGCTTTAACCTAAATAATGATTACTTTAGGCAACAATTTGTTCTTAAAATTTTCATTAAATTTGGTCTATCAAATACGATGGAGACGATCCACTCAATCGTCGAAATTCTTATCTGAATCATCTAGGAATACTACTTAGAGTTCACTTGCAGGCTGTCCATATACCACGTGTACTGTTTAGTGGGAGGGGGAAAGTGTCTTCAGAGGACTTCATGGCCAACTATGAAAAACAAAATTTAAAGCCTAACTTTTACCCCTAGAGAGATAAAAGGATACCAACTATCTCCCGCGATGTTTTAGAACTGCTCAAAATATAAAACTTAGCTTTTTAAAGCTTTGATTTTGAAAGGTTTGGTTAGCGCCAATTCATACAAGAGTGAGAGATGAAATGCGCACTGTAATGCAATGAAAATAACTTTTAAAGGATAAGATGAGTGATGCTGACTTCGAAAGAAGTGTGCCAGTGTGTGAGTGAATGAAAAAAATCTAAACTATGTCACTAAATTTTGCTCTTCATAACTCGATTATAATACCTAGGAATGCAAAAAACATTGCAAACAGCGTGTGCAAACAAATAATCCACCTGCCAAATACTTACTCTCATCCTCCTCGTTCAGAATAAACGTATCGTCTCCCTGCTTAATGTCCTTGCAGCACCCATCGTAAACATCATCCCACGGGCTTCCGAACGCAAATGGCTCCACGGAGCACTTGTTCGAACTGGATCCCACGACCAGCCCAATCTTGCAAGCTTCACAGCAGTCCTGCCAGTATGCTGGTATCGTTATCAACAAAGCGGAAAATCCCAGAAAACCCTCTCAAACTTACTGTATAAAATTCCGACCCCGAGTGATCACCCTTCAGTGAACAGCTGAGACCCTGTCGGGCGGCAATTTGACCTGCCGTACATTGGTAAATCTTGTGCTGCTTGGAGCAGCAAATTTCCACGGTCGATAAGCATAGTCCCCGCAGCTCCCCCGGTACAATCTCCAGCGTGTTGTTGAAACTGGAGCACAGCCTATGCTGGGTACCCCATCCTTCACCTTCCTGGCAGCAGAGGGACAATATCTGCTCCATGGCGATTGCTGAAAAAAATCATGGGAAAAGGGGAAATTTCAACATAAAAATCACATTGTTACGATCATGCATCTTAAGCTTAATAGTAGTCACTGCCGAGCGTTTAACGGCTCTTTGGTTACGTTAATAAAAGCGCTTCCGCCGAATCACCATTTCTCAGCACAATGGGTAATTTATGCGGTGAGACCGCGGATTACAGACGAAAAATGTTCTATAATGAAATGCGTTATCATAGAAAAGAAGTTTAGTCATCCTCCCCGAGCCCAGCGCCATCACTGGAATTTCTGCGTAGAAAATCAACTACGAGATGTTGGGTACCAAAACCTTCTGAATATAGACTTCATGCACCAATTGCACTGCTCCACCGTTTAGCCAAGTTGTGAAAGTCGAGGAAGCGGAAGACCTTAACACTTGGTAGACACACTGCCGGATGGAAACCCATAGCTGTTGCTGCTTCGACTGCCACTCTGTCATTGCAAAGTTCTGTCGTGGTAAGAATAGAAATATATCTTTCTTCAAAACATACACCCACTTCCTCACACACCCCCACACACATTTCCGGACGCCCAGCCTCATTAGCATAATTTTATTTTTCCCAAGCAAGGAAACCGCAACGCTGGAAACGTTCAACCGCAATCTTTCCGTACAGCAGCAGAAAGTTACCGATGGGGTTGTCTTTGACGGCAAAATGGTGATGCGATGCAAGGATGCTGCCCTCTGTCTATGTCGCTGGTTGAAGAATAAAAGTTTCGCTCTAAAAGTACTGCGCGCGGGTGACCCCGACAGAGTCAGAGCGATGTGAAAGTCATTACCGGCCAGAGCCAGAACCAGAGAAGAATGGATGTGGGTATTGCGCTAAGAATGGCCCTAGGCGAAACTGTGTTGTGAACCGAAAGGGATAAGTACCAACAGTAAGAAATGTTACGTAACGGATTTTGCTGCTTCTGCTGTTCCGCCTGTCACTCTGCTTCCCATTGAAAAGGGGAATTCAAGCGAATTCCACGGATCGTTGAAGTTGAAAAGGATTGTTTGATTTGTTCGGTGAAAGTAAATGAACGTGGTAATGAAAAATCAATGAGAAGGATGATTAAAGAAGGGATCCATTCAAATTTGTTAGTCGTGATATTTAAAGCAGTATCCGTCAGAAATAAGTTTTAATGGCATTACTGGGATTTAATTTAATAGATCTTTTAATCTGCCGAGTGTAATCAAAATTTACTTGAAAAATGTAGATGATTGTTTCTATCGGCAAAAAATGGAAGGGGTCTAAAATCTCTCAACAACTGTCCACTAGAATGCATCATTTTCGAAAAAAAAAATGCACTATGCTGCCGTTATTCGCATAACAGTCCCATGTCCTATTGATTTCCTATCTACATGGGACTGTTATGCGAATAGTGGCAGTATGGTAATGTTTGTTTTTAGAATCAAAAATTCAATATATGAGCCTGTGCTAAAATGGTAGAGATTACACGGTAACCCCAAAATACTCAATATTGACTAAAAAGTAAGCATTTTCGAGGGAAACAGAGACTACCCATTAAATTAGTAAAATGTTACCCGTTTAATGTTTACTCATCTAATCGGTAGTCCCAGTTTCCCTCGAAAATGCTTACTTTTTAGTCAATATTGAGTCTTTTATAGTCATTATTGGATATTTCGCGGTTACCGTGTAAGGCAGCTTAAGGTGTTGAGAGCCACCTACTTTAGATCCGTTTGCGTTGCGTTGACGTAAATTTGACAGTTAGGCAATAGATTTAGTTGTAACTTTGTGGTAACGCGTCAGATCCGGACCTAGTGTGGGTGGTCTTTTACGATACAGCAGTCACAAATCACTGGCTCTTAATAGTAAATCTCGGACACTTTTGCGATTTTAATCTTAAAATTGGCTTCTTAATATTTACTGCGTCGCAGAAAATATAGGGGAAGCAGTGTATGTTTTCTGGAAGCTGATAAGACATCTTAGTCTTTGTTATTTTTATGGTTTGTTGATAGTGACAAGACTCGGCTTTGTCCTCTGAGGATGATCATTATCGGTGTCATTGCTTAATTTTATTGCTAAGGAATCCAATTTTGACTAACAAATGGGGGCGCCTTTGGAGGGTGCTCTCACTTTCGAAGAGTATAAATAGCGGGATCTTTCAATTAGAATCGATTCCTTGCGATGAAGGCAAGAATAACAACTGTTTCAAAACCGAATACTTCATCATTTCTCAATAGTGATGGAGTAATACCAACAATCAATACGAAACTAACGACTTGACTAGCCTATTGGTCCCAAATAAATCGATTAAAATACCCCATTCTAGTATGAATTCCAGTATTACATTATGTTTGTTTTGATTCGCTATGAAAGTTTGACAGATAAAATGAGGGGTTCGTGGATTTTTCTATGTTTCGAGGGGTGCATCGATTAGCTTGGGACCAAAGATAGTACCAGAGATGAGCCAAAAAGTTGAGCTCGTTTCTTTGGGACCTATCCTGAACAAAGGAAAAAACCTTTTTTTTTCCTTTGGTTTGTTTGGGACCAAAGATAGTACCAGAGATGAACCAAAAAGTTGAGCTCGTTTCTTTGGGACCTATCCTGAACAAAGGAAAAAACCTTTTTTTTTTCCTTTGATTTGTTTTTTCCGTCGATCTTGTTTTCCGTGCTGAGCACCAATGCTACCGACGTGCCAGGAAGGCAGCTCCCACACCTGGACCCTACCTATCGACCCATCAACTCATGAACCGGGGACCAACGGCTTTACTTCCCATCCGAAGGAAGGCGTGATCAGAGATGTTATGCCTCAGAACATCCCGGCGGCGCCGACTGGGATTGAACCCAGGCCTCCTGGGGTGAGAGGTAATCACGCTTACCACTACACCACCGGCGCCGTTAAAGGAAAAAACCTAGTTTTAGCCATTTCAAACTAGAGAGAAACGAATGATGATTAGGAATCATATAGAAAACTAACCCATTATTTATAAACCAACAATAGCATGGTTGTTACGACTACGAGGATTACAAGATTTTCGTGGATTTTGTGCAGATTTTCCTCTCATTTGGTCTGGCGCGGATTGCATCCACTTAATATGAATTAAACTTAGTTTAAATTAAAACTAATTAAAAACTCCATTCCGAGGACATATTTTCAAATAAACATGTTTCTGTATACAAAGATTTTAACCGTAAATTTTATGATCGCAGTGTTTCATGGAATCTCCCTAAGGTCCTTTTTCGGAACATTTCTAAAGTTGTCAGAAATTATCTGAAGTGTCCAAACCTCTGAAAGCTCTAAAACCTCTCAGAACTACCATGAACTTATCAGTTCCCTGCACACTGTAGTTCGTCGAACCTCTCAGAAGTTCACCAAGCTTCACATCTTTCAATTACCTTCCTAGTCCTCTCAGAAGTTCTCTGTGAAGCTCAGAAATCTTGCGAGGTGTTAAAGAAAGAAGATCTATGAATTTCAGAGATATTCAGCGATATTAAAAGGATTCAGAGTCGAGTTTCGAACGCCTTTGGATACGGTTGTGTCATAAGTTTTTTCTCTGTTTGGTGCGTGCGTTAGCTTTCATAGTTTTCGGCTGCATTTGCCGGATTAGCGCTGGCACACTGTTGGATTTTTTCTCCCGGTCCAGAAATTTGTGACATCGCGAGCGATAATTTTAATTTTAGTTCGCTCGCAACTATTTTGAAAAAAAATTAAGTGTTTTCGAACGAAAGTGTACCAAAAGTGCATCTGAACGTGTTTCGTAGTTGGGTGTGGTGAAATTCGTGCATTCCCGGTTGATTTTGGAAATCCGTATCACAAAATTGCCCACCGATTCCTTTTTTTGCCGTTCGACGACGACGGGTGTGCTTTCGCGAGAGTGACGTTTATTTGATCCGTTTCTTTTCACGGGTGTTTTTTTTTTTTTGTAACTAGCGTAAGTGTGCCTGTAATTTGTATTGATTGTAAGTAATCTGAAGTAATGGCAATACAGGAAGTATTGGTATTGGAAGGTAATTGCTATTAGATATTTTGCAAACAGTGACAGATAGCGGACATGAAGAACCAGTGGAGGTGCCGGGCAAAGGTGTTTATCCTAGACAAATAGTAAGTTACAAATTCGCTGTTGTCGTTATCGTAGGTGCCGTCGTAGTCGCTGTCGTAATCGCCGTCGTAGTCGTAGGCAGTACCGTTAGTATATTTAAAATTAACCACCAACCGCTGAAAATATGAATTATCGCGTATTTCTGTTGTTCATTACATGCCAAGTTAAATTCGAGAACGTAATTTCATTTGAAAAGCTTGTTCAACTAGGTCTTAAATAATCGTCACGTCGGTCATAGCTTGTTATGATTACCTGAACCATGCGTAAAGAGAAAATCGAAACATTCAACGTCGCGTGAAAATGGATCTTAATAAAGGCGTCTTTCGTAGCTTTTAGTTTAAGGATTTCAAAGATCGTCAGTTGCAGTGCCTTGCTTACTGAGCAGAAAAACGCGGTCCCAGATCCTTTCATATTAAAAATTTGTGGTTAGATCGCTTGTTTATCGTGTATTTTGTAAAACTTTTCGTTGTCGTCGGTGCCGGGTCTGAATAGTCATAAAAACTTGAGTAACGCTATAATGTGATATGAGGGGCTCGGTGGCGTTAGCACAACCGGTTTTGCTTACTGAGTAGAACATCATGAGTCTAATCTCAAGCCCATCCACATTCAAGATTCGTCAATCGTTTTATTTGTTAACATCACTACATGGTAATAACAGCAACTCGATGATTAAAAAGGAGCTCGTCTGCCTAGTGGCAAACGTTTTTGCTTACTGAGCAGAAGACCGTGGGTTCAATCCCAAGCTCCTTCGCGTTATATGATTGTTAGGACATCAATTCAGCTTATCGTTTACCAAAACGTACCCTGCTGCAAACCCAACCCTATTACCCAACATCCCAGTGATTCCTCGTGGAAGTGCAGAGGTGTTCTCAGCTTCTATCAAAGCGAGTGTCACGTCAACACATTTCTACCCCTTCCTTTATTGACC